GAGGAAGGCAGGGTAACATAGGCAAGCATACTGAACACAGCAACGTACAAATAAACGTGCGACAAGCAACGCATCAACTGTCGGGGTAAATTAAGGAGGCTGGTTGGGAAAGAGAGCGAGGTAACCTGGAACAGGAGGCATGTTAGCGCTGAAATGTAGAACATAATTATGAAAAGGGCAGGCATGTCACGTGGTATCTGCAAGTACAAAATAAGGGTATACAATCGGCGTGGAATATAGCCATGTTACATTAAGAGAACGGAGGAGATGCATAACATAAATATAACCAAATAAGCGACGTGAATAAACTGCAAGGGCCCAGCGAAAGTACTGTAACTACTGAGGAAACTAGGCAAAATGCAGGGCCAGGGAACGTAAAGCAAATTAAGGGCCCGCAAATACTGCAAATAGGACGTCCTGTCTGACTTTACTTAGTAAATTACTTATAACTCTGCAAATAGGACATCCTGGCGACTTTACTTAATGACGTAAGACAAGGAAAAGTGAACAAGCAAACTGTGACACAGCGGACGCGAAGATTGAACGTACGACATGCACAAGGCTACGAATGCCTGAGTAAAATTAGGCTGGGGCAAAGTGAATCCGAGGTGATCTGAAAGCAGAGGCATGTCGGTGCTGAAATGTGGAACATAAATATGAATAAGGGCAAGGCATGTCGCGAGAAGTCTGCTAGTACAAGATAAGAAACCTTCCAAATTTTTTCTCACACCAAGTGTGAGAAAGACATAATTTACAGTGTCTTAAGGAGGCAAAGAATGGGGATCATTAAATATACGACGTTCCCGACGACGCTTCGACGCCGCCATCTGCTGGAGGATACCGTGCCCCGGGCAACATGGGGGCCACCCCCCTGTCCAGGGCACGGCCCCTGGAACTGGACGCCGAGGACTTAACGAACATAACGAAGTCATCCTGGATTGCCGGCTTTAACGCCGAACCCAGGGCCTGTGGTGCGTACCCGTAGACGTAAACCTGCCATCGTCGTCGAGCTGATCTCGGGTCCTTGCTCCAACGCCGGCGTCTCCCTCCGACGAAGAAGAACAACAGACGACACAGGCGAACGGGCAGGCAGACGAACGCTGAACTTACGACGTAGGAGGAATCCCTGCTACACCGGACGGGCAGGGCGCTTAAGACAAACACACCAGGCTACACCGGCCAGGCGGGAGCGCCTGGGAACCAACTTGCCGGCAACACCGGCCAGACGGAGGACATGTGGGAACGGTCCTGGCTACCCCCCAGGCAAGCAGGGCACGTGCCTGAGGGCCTGGACGGCGGAAAGCTTGAAATAACACACCGGGCAACACCGGCCAGACGTACGTCTGGGGACTACATGCCGGACTTACACCGGCCGACGGACGTCTGGGGACATCTTGATCGGCGCCACTCTGGGGAAGACGTACCTGGGGACTCCGGGACACCGAAGGGCCTGGGGCTAACACCCCGGGCAACACGGCCGGGCGGGACGTCAGAGGGCGACGTGCCTAGCAGAGAGCACACCACACACGGCAAGGACCCCGTGGCCTACCAACCACGCTACCAACCATACTGTATATTATACAGTATACAGTTATATTATACTATTATACCATTGTAGTATTGTATTATATATTAATACGTATTATATTATACCGGCCGACGGACGTCTGGGGACATCTTGATCGGCGCCACTCTGGGGAAGACGTACTTGGGGACTCCGGGACACCGGAGGGCCTGGGGCTAACACCCCGGGCAACACGGCCGGGCGAGACGTCCGAGGGCGACGTGCCTAACAAGAGCACACCACACACGGCAAGGACCCCGTGGCCTACCAACCACGCGCTGCCACACGGCATGCTCAGGGCCTAGACGAAAAGGGGGAGGGGGGGGGGGCCGCACACAGGGCGGCCGTACGGGCGCAAGGCAGCCCGAGCCCCGACATGGGAAGCCGTGGCGCAAAGCCACGTGGATTAGCACCCAAAAGGGAACAGGAAGGGCGGGACACAGCCCAACCGTGCGCGCCACGGAACGCCGTGCCACGTGGCAGCACGACCAGGCGTGTGCCCCGTAGCAGGCCCGGGCGGAGGGCCGGACCTGGCCACGAGTCGTCGCCAGGCAACGACTGTCCGCTCAGGGAGACCCGACCCCTGGGGACATCCCAGGGAAGCCGGCAGACCGGCAACAGGGAACACCCGAGGGAAACAGGAAGGACGCAGAAGCACGCCCTGCCGGCCAGGCACGTGACGGCCCGGCAAGGCGGGGCCCGCCATAGGGCCGCCCACGCCTGGCCACGTGCCGCCGCCGCCGAGAACATGCGCCCCGGGCGTAGGACCGAACCTGGCCACAATCCGTCGCCGACACATGTCCTCGGACAAGGCGAAACCTGGCCCCCTGGGACACCCAGGGAACCCGGCGGGCCGGCGGCAGGGAGCCCCGAAGGAAAGGCGGGAAGGACGCCGAGGCACGCCCAGACACGTGGTCGATGGCGGCGAGGGAAAGGGCCCCAAGGCAGAGCACAAAGGGCGTAGGGCCCACCACGCCTGGCCACATGGCGACGCCGGCAAGGGCACGCCTGGCCGCCGACGGGGGGCCCCGGGCAGGGCGCGCGCCTAGGCACGCCGTGCTGCGGGGCCCCTTGGACACGGACGGGCACGGCTGGACGGGGCCCCACATGAGAGGAGACCAAACGCAGGCCACTAGGGACGCGGTCCGGGGCACGCCGACCCTAAGCCAGCCACGCGACCAGCACGGCACGGGGGCGCCCGGCACAGGCCCAAGGAGGGCGCCCCAGCTCTCCGGGAGCAACAGCAGAGAGCCCAAAGGACTAACTAAGGCGGCACACACGTACCGCGAGGGGATGGCGCTAGGCACACGCCGCACTGGGGGAGGACCTGACTAGAATTGGACAGAAAACCTCACCTTGGGTTTAAAAGTGTAGGGCAGGAGGGCCCTGCCGGAACAGTCTGGGGTGTCGAGGGCCCCAGGATGTCCGTGAGAGAGAGGTCAGGTACCGAGGCAGCTGGCGTGTTGTCCATCTCGTGCGAAGTCGGGCGGCCGGGGAGTGGTTGCGAGGGCAGCGGCGAGGGCAGGCGGAGTGAGGCGGAGCCCTATTGTGCGCCCGTATTTATACGACCCCAAACTGCCCGCGCAACGCCGCGGGACGCGCTGCGCAATTGTTTCTTTCTCCCCCGCCAGAAACATCCCCGCTTGTGATGCAAGCAGTGACCATTTCTGAAGTTAGAAAGCATAGCATAGGCTCCTTGCACAATATTCTTTATGTGGTCCTCAGGTGATAGTTTTCTATCTAGAACCACTCCTAGATCTCTTTCTTTATCAGAATTCTTTAAAGATTTCTCACATAATATATAGGTTGTGTGGGGTCTATGTTCTCCTATTCCACATTCCATAACATGACATTTATTAACATTAAATTCCATTTGCCAAGTGGTGCTCCATATACTTATTTTGTCCAGGTCTTCTTGAAGGGCATGACAATCATCTAAATTTCTTATCCTTCCTATTATCTTAGCATCATCAGCAAACATGTTCATATAATTCTGTATACCAACTGGTAGATCATTTATGTACACAATAAACATCACTGGTGCAAGAACTGAACCCTGTGGTACTCCACTTGTGACATTTCTCCATTCCGATACATTGCCTCTGATTACTGCCCTCATTTTTCTATCAGTCAGAAAATTTTTCATCCATGATAGAAGCTTACCTGTCACCCCTCCAATATTTTCCAGTTTCCAGAACAACCTCTTATGTGGAACTCTGTCGAAAGCCTTTTTTAGGTCCAGATAGATGCAGTCAACCCAGCCATCTCTTTCCTGTAATATCTCTGTGGCCCGATCATAGAAACTGAGTAAATTCGATACACAGGATCTTCCTGATCGAAAACCATACTGTCTGTCTGATATTATATCATTTCTCTCTAGGTGTTCTACCCATTTAGTTTTGATTAGTTTTTCCAATACTTTCACTATTACACTTGTCAATGATACAGGTCTATAATTGAGGGGGTCTTCCCTGCTGCCACTTTTGTAGATTGGAACTATGTTAGCCTGTTTCCACCCGTCTGCTACGATTCCTGTACACAGGGATGCCTGAAAGATCAGGTGAAGTGGAATGCTGAGCTCAGATGCACATTCTCTCAGAACCCATGGTGAAACGCCATCTGGGCCAGCTGCTTTGTTCTTACCGAGCTCCATGAGCATTTTTCCACTTCGTCTCTAGACACCTCTATGTGTTCTATGTTGTTCTCTGGAATTCTTATTGTATCTGGTTCCCTAAAGATTTCATTTTGTACAAACACACTTTGGAACTTTTCATTTAGTGTTTCACACATTTCCTTTTCATCTTCCGTGAATCTATTTCCCATTTTCAACCTCTGAATATTATCCTTTACCTGCAATTTGTTGTTTATGAATTTATAGAATAGACCTGGTTCTGTTTTACATTTGTCCGCAATCCCTTTTTCAAAATTTCTTTCTGCCTCTCTCCTCACTGCCGTGTAGTTGTTTCTTGCATCTTTGTATCGCTGGTATGTTTGGGGGTTCGGCCTCTTCCTGTATTGATTCCATTTTTGTGTCTTTCGGTCTCTAGCCCTCTCGCAATTTCTATTGAACCAATCCTGTTTCCTAGTTCTGCATCTCTGTTTTGGTATAAATTTTTTTGTGCCTTTATCATATATTTCACAAAACTTGCCATACATCTCATTCACTTCCTTGCCTAGCATCAAGTCTGTCCAATTATACTCACTAAAAAAATTTCTAAGGTCACCATAATGTCCTCTCCTGAAGTCTGGTTTTTCAACTGCTTCAACCTCCTTATTTTCTTCCAGCTTATAACGCATTGCATACTTTATTCCCAAAAAGACATGGTCACTTTTACCCAAGGGAGGAAGGTACTGAATGTCAAATATCTCTTCCTCCTTCCTGGTAAATATCAAATCTAGCATGGAGGGAACGTCCCCTTCCCTCATCCTCGTGTGTGTGTGTGTGTGCGCGCGCGTGTGCGTGCGTACGTACAGTAATTACCTAAGTTTAGTTACTGGATAAGAGCTATGCTAATAGTGTCCCATCTCCCCAGACTCTTTGTCATATAACAATTTGAAACTACTGATGGTTTTGGCCTCCACCACCGTCTTACTTAGCTTGTTCCAACCGTCTACCACTCTGTTTGCAAAAGAAAATTTTATATTATTTTTTGGGCACCTTTGTTTCCTAACCTTGAATCTGTGTCCTCGTGTTCGTGATGTTGCTGCTTTCAGGAATTGTGCATGTTTACTCACATAGTTGTGCTTGTGGGGGTTGAGTTTCGGCTCTTTGGTCCCGCCTCTCAACCATCAATCTACTGGTGTACAGATTCCTGAGCTTCTCGAGCTCTGTCATATCTACATTTGAAACTGTGTATGAAGTCAGCCTACACTACATATGTGTGTGGATTTTGTTTAGTGAACACGAGTTAATCTTGTGTGACCAACATGTGGTCTAGTCGGAGACATGTCTTCCTGCAAATTTCGGTAGTAGGAGGAAGGCCACAGTGATTGGTCATGTTTACTGAGTTACCTGTCCTCAACATGGCTATTAGTGAGCATCCAACAGGTTAATACTGTTTAAATACTATATTGCAACATGCAATTAGCTAAAACAACAAAATATATCACAAGCTGCCAAAACAAATATATTTTATTAGTTTATTTTTGTTATAGTGACACACATGAACATGGAATAACAAAAACAGAAAAGGGGGTGTATAAAAATGGCAAGCACCCTGTATCAGTAAAATCTTTTACACTTTAAGATAACCTAAATAATACAAAAATAATATATAAACTGAAAACAACATACACATCTGGGAACACCCAGCGCATAGGTTCGAGCCCTCATACAGCTTCTGGATTTGCTCTTTGAAAAACGTTATTCTTGTTTTTGTTAATCTTTATAAAAAAATAACTTTAGAATACTGAATATGAGCTTTGGTTTGAAGTAACAAAAATAATTGTGTAATGAAATGCTTCCCTATGTGGATAGTAAGAGGTAAAAATTATTTTTTCTTGACAAATTCATTTTTCCAAATCAGCTTTGTTCCCTCGACTTCAACTTTCTCATAGTACCACTTTCTGTTCACCCTGCAAAGACAAAGACGAAGCTAAGTGTATTCACAGTTAATATTGATTGTTAAACCTTTAAATTATTATATTTTATTCTCTTTTATGCTGCATAGTTGAGACGTTTGCAATTTTTTTTTTATTTTTTTTTTTTTAGGAATTTTGAAAATTTTTATTGGGTGTTTTGGAGTTCAGTTGCTGACCTTTTGAAGTTTTTTTTGTTAGTTTTGGAGTGTTATTGTTGGAAATTTTAAAGTTTTTATGGCCATTTTGGATTTTTTTTGTTGTTGGGCATTTTGAATTTTTTTTGCGGGGCATTTTGGAGTTTTTTTGAGGGGTATTTTTTAGTTTTTCCTTTAAGCGTTTTGGAGTTTATTTGTTGGCAGATTTGGAGTTTGTTTAATCAATAATAATAATAATAGTAATATTTTATTTATACAGGTGTAATGTACCAACCTGTCCTCGTACAAAGAATGTTGCATTTCGATCGTATACGTTACGCAAGGCCAAAAATTGTCATACTAGAAAAATGGAAGCGGCTCGCAAAAGTGATGTACTGTCCCATTTTCTGTTTTAGGTCCTCTGGTAGGTTAGGGGAGGACAAAAAAGAAAAAAAAACGAAACAACTTCAAGTGATGTTGGGAAACCTTAGGAGGACTGGCTGAATGTACATACACATAATACATGAATAGTGGATGATTTATAGGTAAGTACAATGAATAAGACCAATAATGAGTACTGTGGATGGTTTCATCCATAATATTAGCAGGTTGAGAATAGTTTGAATATTGTGAGGTGTTTCATTCACCTTTCAGCTTATGGTGATTGAAACCAAATTATCTGGACAAGAAAGGTATTTTACCTTATGTGATAGACTCAATGGCTGTTAAAAAATTGAGATACGAGTAGAGCCATAGGCGAAGTACACTAGCTGGAGCTGGAAAATTTGGAGAGGCTCGGTAACATTGGGCTAACTAATCTGTGGCACTGGAAGGATCTAGTTGTTCCAATTGACCACTTTGGTAGATAAATTTGTTGAGGTTTTCCTCTATTTGAATGTTGCCCGTGGGATTAATGCCAATGTATTGTCCAGCCTGACAGTAATTGATCCAGACCTTCCGACACTAGATCTAACCTTAGGGATATAAATTTTGAAATTCTCCCAACAACATATGGAATTTGTTCTATAAGATGCAGGATTACTATGGGCACACGAATACAGCATATTTATAAGGAAAACAACGAAGTCAACTATAAACATGTTAGCATGAGCTATGCATGTTAGTGGCTTTGCATGAATGTAAAAATACCAATCTTGTGTAATCTCACCAACCCATTGTACCTTCTTGCAAATAAATTGTTATTATTATTATAAGCATGCCAGTTTTAGCTATATTATACAGTACCTGCATTCACTGCCACATTTTCCAGAACCACATTTTGGGCAAGGGTAGTAGCATCCAGGACAGTCACTCTGCAGGCAGTCACATAAATCTTTGTCAGAATTAACAAGTGTGCCATCAGGTCCATAAACACACTGCTGATTCTGGCTCCTGGTCCTGAAAATTATGTTAAAAATCTGCAGCTCAAGATATTCTTTGTTCAACGTAGCCTGTGGGAGGTAGGTCTTTAGAAACAATAGAAAAGATAACCACAGAATTCTTAATGTAATTAGATAAGGAATAGTGGGGATTATATAGCACAACAGAGTTGAGGAAGTTACCAAGGAAGCACACCATAACAATGGTACAGCCCCATATTTTGGCCTTTAGTATTTGATACACATTAAAGATACGGTTTTCAATGTAGGCAAAAAATTAAGCTCCTTCCAGAGCAGGGGGCTGGATTCATCAAGTAGATACGCAAACACTTGCAAATCATACATCTTTCCTGAATTATGGCGGCTTTGTTTACTTTTATTAAACAGTCTGGAAACTTCACAACCCAAAATTATTGTTATAAACAATCACATAGTGCTTTGGAGTTCATAAACTGATCAATAAATGCAAACAAAGCCACCTTGAATAAGGTAAGATGTACAGGTTGCATAAATGAATGATGAATCCTGACTCGGGTCACAAGTAGTTTTCTCAGATACATCACCTTCCTGTGCTTCTGGAATGTTGCACTGTCTTCTTCTTGCGCAAGACTCTCTCACTGATTTTGGGGTTGAAGTTTTGTATGAATTTTGACCGGCTACATATCTGCAGCTGCAGTAATGCAGATGCAATAGCCTGCAAGTTAATATAATATTATTGAGTAAACAAAGATAGTTATATACTACATTCTTGTTACCTTTTAACAATGTATGAATTACAGTGCCTAGCAAAACTGGGTAGGACTTTATTTATTAAAAAAATTCACAAAATGATTTTTTTGTACATTAGCCTATTCACTGTTGCTTTCAAATTACATCTATAGCATACACAGCACAAAGATTAAAATGATTTGTGAATATTATAAATAAATATTGTCTGAAATAGCGCCTCCTTTCAAAAGCTTAGTGCTTTATTAAACTTGCCTTTATTTGAACTTGGCACTTGGGCTAGGTTCTGAGTAATCATTGTGCTCCAGGAGACAAGTATGTGTTTGAACTGCTTCCACCCTCTTCTTAAGACTTGACTACACCTATACGTAAGTTTCGCAGTTACGCAAATACTTGCAAACATGAGGTGCCACTGTATGGTCCTGTTGTATTCAGACTCGGTCGTCAGTATAAAGAGAGGCTCCGAGCTCTCAAGGTCACGGGAGATATCTCCCGTCCACGAGGTTAACCATGGCCCGTGCTTCTTGCCCCGCTCATGTGCCAGGTAAGTTACGGGCTCACCATAGCCCGTGCTACTTGGAACTTGTTCCGAGTAGCTGAATCTATAACAACAACAACTCTCAAGGTCTTTCAGCACTGCTCCTATGCCAGGTAAGTGCTCACCATAGCCCGTGCTACTTGCCCCGCTCCTGTGCCAGGTAAGTTACGGGCTCACCATAGCCCGTGCTACTTGGAACTTGTTCCGAGTAGCTGAATCTATAACAACAACAACTCTCAAGGTGTCAGCACCGCTCCTGTGCCAGGTAAGTCCATTACGGGCTCACCGTGGGCTGTGCTACTTGCCCCGCTCCTGTGCCAGGTAAGTTACGGGCTCACCATAGCCCGTGCTTCTTGGAACTTGTTCCGAGTAGCTGAATCTATAACAACAACAACTCTCAAAGTCAGTTTCAGCCCCGCTCCTGTGCCAGGTAAGTCCATCACGGGCTCACCATAGCCCGTGCTACATGGACATTTCGTTCTGAGTTGCTAAATCTAAACCAACAACAACTCTCAAGGTACGACAGGTACAGCCCCCGCTCCTGTGCCAGGTAAGTCTACTACAGGCTCATCATAGCCAGTGCTACTTGGAAATTTTTGTTCTAAGTAGCGAATCTTAAACAACAACTCTCAAGGCCCGTGTCTTTTTACGGGCTCACCATAGCCCGTGCTACATAGACATTTCGTTCTGAGTAGCTAAACCTAAAACAACTCTCAAGGCTGTTGCAGGTTATCACTCAGGCTATGGTGCCAATGTCAGAATGTCAAAATGATGTACCTTGCATACATCAGATCTTTAGTGGATTATGCTGCACCTCTGCTTGCTTTGATGCCTGGAAAGAAAGCTTGGAGGGCTTGAAAAATTTACAAAACGAGGCCTTGAGGATAATCCTTGGGTGCCCTCGTACCACAAAGATACTTAACATGAGAAAGGAACTTAATGTTCCGAGCGTTGTTGATCGTGTTACTGAAATTAACTGTCAAATTGGTATAAAAATGCTTAGGCTAATTCACCCTAACCCTTGCACATAAGCCCTCCAGAATTTCTTTATTGAAGGTCAGCATTGTTCCAAATGGATAACTAAAACTGGAACTGAACTCAAAATGTATCAGATTTATCATTTGTACCAAGAGAGACAACAACGGCACTTTCCTGCACCGTGGGAGGTTACACCCTTTTCAATTTTAATCCCTCCCTTTCCACCCAAGAAGCAAATTAGAGATCAGCCCAAGCTTCATCTTGAGGCAAAGCTCAACGCCTTAAGCCATATTGATGCTCTGTCCACAGAGCATTCTCTCTTTCAAATCATATACACTGATGTTTTCCTACACCGTCCCACGGGTGCAGCTGGAAGTGCAGTTGTCCTGACAATGGGCGATGGCTTATATTTTGAGTGGGGAGTCCGTATAATTTGCTTCATGCAGGTCAGCGTTTAATCCCCGACCGTCCAAGTAGTTGAGCACCATTCTTCCCCTCCCGTCCCATTCCAAATCCTTATCCTGACCCCTTCTAAGTGCTATATAGTCGTCATGGCTTGGCGTTTTCTCCTGATAATTCCCTTCCGCTTTCTCCTGATAATTCCCTTCCGCTTTCTCCTGATAATTCCCTTCTTGCACTGACATGTGTACGTCTCCAAACTTGATACATTAATTGTAAGTGACTCCTTATCATCCTCTCGTGTCCCAAGCTACACACAAATACAACAAAATTATTAATGATGGTAACAGGTCCATTTCATGTGGTCTCTATCTCATGTTGGCTTCCGAATGCATGATAGAGATGATGAGTTAGCCAAAGAATCTGCCTTTAAAGGAGACGTTGAGTGTAACCTTGGATTGCCAATAAGCAGTATGAGAGCAGTGGTACACCAAGAACTTCAACAAAATCTTGTAGATCTGAGGCAAAATGAAATTGACACCAGTAATTCCATCTATCATCATACTATCATGCAAGAGGAGCCACACATCTATGGATCATCCAATAAAATCAGCAGACTTCTAGATGTTACTGGTGCTCGGCTTAGACTCGGTTACAAGTATCTCTGGGAATTCTCATTATCTGCTGATGTAGACTTGACCAAATGTAAACTGTGTCAACAAAATTATTCGCACACCCTCCGTCACTATGTGATGGAGTGCGAAAAGATACGTGAATTCAGAGACAATTCTATAACCAATGTTCCAACGATGTGTCAATATTTCATTTAAAATCATCTGCTACCAGAAATTTTAGCCAAATATCCCCAGTTTGCTAACTGTAGGTAGTAACTAAGTGATTGTAACATATCCACCGCTATCCACTGGATGGGGGGCGGTGTGCAGGACAAACATATCAACTGTGATACTAACTCTCCACAAATGTCAGTTACTTAACTTGGAAACTGTACTTAGCAAGATATTTCCTATTATATAAAAACAAAATACATACTTGTTCCTCAGTAACAGAATCAGTCCCCGTAGATTTCTTGTCTTTCTTGCGTCCTGACTGGGTAGCTTTGGGACTTGATTCTGTCAAACCCTGTGAAATATACAGCGTTCAGTTTACCCAGCAAAAATCTACTTCGAACAATAAGCTGGGTAAATTGAACAATCTCCGAGCTGGGTAAACTGAACTCTGTCTTCAGACAACACACACACACACACACACACACACAGACAGACAGACAGACAGACAGACAGAGACAGCCCCTCCGTTTAAATCCCTAAACATGCTGAACTCACTCCATAGTGTATGTTCAGCATAGCACTCTTACGCTATCTACATGTACAAAACATTGTTCCTAAATGCTAATCTCGATTTGAAATTTTTCCTTGATAGGTGTACATGATATGTACATGAATGTGTGGGGTGAGTGTATGTTTAGCATGTTTGGGGACTTAAATAGCGGGGCTGTGCGTTGTCTGAAGACAGAGTTTGTTATAGTTCTGATAGCCGATTTTTGCTGAGTGATGATAGGCTTGAGGTAATTTGCAGTGGTTGAACCCCATGCACAGGTCCACCTTACAGAAAGCTGAACTTACTGAATAGTAGTAAACAATACCCAACAGAAAGCAGCATCCTCCCTTGATGCCACCCGGTCATGGTCAAAGAAGGGTTATCTTGAGGTTATCTTGAGATGATTTCGGGGCTTTTTAGTGTCCCCGCGGCCCGGTCCTCGACCAGGCCTCCACCCCCAGGAAGCAGCCCGTGACAGCTGACTAACTCCCAGGTACCTATTTACTGCTAGGTAACAGGGGCATTCAGGGTGAAAGAAACTTTGCCCATTTGTTTCTGCCTCGTTCGGGAATCGAACCCGCGCCACAGAATTACGAGTCCTGCGCGCTATCCACCAGGCTACGAGGACCCCTAAATAACTAAAATAAAATATTTTTTATGGCCCCCTAATATTTTAACCCCCTAAGGGTTAAAATAGATATTTTGTAGTGTTCATTTTTTTATATTTAAGATAAAAATGAAGACATTAAACCTTTCTTTTCAGGATCTTCTAACTTTAGCTTGGTTTTATTTTGGATGGTAAACAGAACTGAACTGTAATAATCTATCAACATATTAACAAAGACCAAACAATAATTATATTTGTCAACATAAAATATATTCTAGTACAACTTATCCTCCTGTTTAAATAGTACTTTTTGTAACTATGTGCACCATAGTACAAACATTGACGTACTAAGGAATTATATAGTAGAATTTGCACTATTCCATTTATAGTCCGAAAAAATGAAGCTAAAAACAAACACACATTCCTAGGCCTAGTATAGCCCACGTATGTACTATATTAGGCCTCGGATAACGTGTATTACGCTTAGGAAGGTTAGGTTAGTTTACTTTGTCTTTACAACATAAATATAAAATCTTTTCCGCTCTGTTTAAATTCCATATGTCCGATTTCTATTTTCTAATTGCGTTGAACGCCGGTATATGTACTATGGTCCTCATCGTCGCTATAAGTGCTACCAAAACAGGAGGATGGGCTGCATATTCAATAGTGTAAGTTACTGTACATATGAACATACCGGATCATCAAACGCTTCCTCTTCGAACTCCACGTCCAAATCCGGCTCAATAGCTTCACCAGTTTCACTTTCTTGGCATACTTCATGACGTAAACCCCCACGCTCCTTCTTGGAGGCCGCGCCTGTTGCTGCTGGCCATCTTCCTCTACGTTGAAGTGAAAATGATAATAGTTGTAGACCTCATTATTAATATCTTAAAATCAGGTCAGTATTTTGGAATGAATTATAGTACATATATCAACAAGTTACCCATTAACATTAAGTGAAATGTGCCTGACTGTTTAATACAGAAAGTGAAGTCTGCCTGCCTGATACATTAGGTTAAGGTGCATGACTGTTTAACACATTAAATTAAGTGTGCCTGACTATATTACATTAAGTGAAGTGTGCCTGTTTATTGCATAAGTGTAATAATAACAGAATGCCTAATTGTTAAAACATTACCTTCTGTTCTACCCTCTCTACCGTTCTATATTTCCTAGCGGTGAAAATTAAAGGAGAGTAAAGAGGGAGTATGGGAAAAGGTGTGAGGGAAGAATGGAAAACGGGGACACGTAAGAGATGAATTGAGGTAGAGAAGTGGGTGAGGAGAAGGTGGATAGAAAACGAGGATCGGATGGGAGGGTCAAGGAGATGGTTGATTTTGATTGTTGCCGCCGAAGGCGGCTAGTTTATTGTGCACCCCATACTCATCTTGTGAGCGGTAGCGCAAAAGCATTACAGAGGGCACAAAAGGTCTTTATCAGACCTCATCTTAGATTATTACATAAACAATTTCTTCACTCCTTCACACCTTATAGATACAATGGCAGCTAGTTACAGAAAGGAGAGGGTTATACACCCTAACCTGGGGATGTGCTCTCAGAATGTGTCCTAGGCTAACCTGGAGGTGTGAACCAAAGATGTGACTTTTACAATGTTCTGCCGTGACATAATGCTCGTGGCTATCATAAATAATTTTCGCTGCACATACATAAGGGATAAAAATGTTTTGTCTTTAGAACCACGTCAATAACCCCCTTAGACTGTCTTAGGCTGCCTGGGTAAAATGGGAACCTGATACAAATGTAAAGCTCTACAATCCTCAATGGTGTTCTGCTTAGAAACTTTGGAGGCTTTGGCAGCTCATCAGGGACCTGTGTGTCACACCTTGTATGTACTTTACCTGAATAAATATTTGAATTTTTTTGAATTTTATGGAGAGTGCTGGTGTGCAATTAACTACACTGTATTCGTTAAATGGTCACTGCTTGACGCAAGCGGGGATGTTTCTGGCGGGGGAGAAAGAAACAACTGCGCAGCGCGTCCCGCGGCGTTGCGCGGGCAGTTTGGGGCCGTATAAATACGGGCGAGCCCTACTTGTAGTCACCCCCTTCTCCTTATTCATTAGGTCTTTCCGGCCTCTTGGTCGGGTACATTATGTGTTATGTGGTCTCTCACTTATTAGTTACTCTTTGTGTCCTGCCTGTTATATCCTAGTGTTATATAATTACTCACATTTGCATTCGGCCTTAATTCTAGTACCAGTTAAGCTTTACGTTTCTGCAGAATTAGTTTCCATGTCACTATAGGCTAAGGTCTCATAATTACTACGGGTGTACCTTTTAAGTTAAATCTAGTCCTCGGACTTGGAATTGTTACTGTTAATTCTTACTTTATATATTTACATGTTCTGCAGAATTTAATCTTCAATAAACTTTAACGCCCCATGCTGCCAGTATCTTTCTCCCCCTGGTCAGAAAACGAAGCATATCAGCCTTTTCCATAAGTTAATGTTATGACTTGTACATTCGGGTAAAGAAAAAAAGTCATGCATACAGTCTTCCTATTTGTGAATGGTTGAAAGATATAGTTTGTTAACAAAATTACAATACTAAGTTTTGTTATTACGGTATAAAGATTGAAATGTCAACTTCGAGAATTTCGCGGGCTGTTATCCTTACACGTTGCTCTACAAGATTGTTTAAACTGTGCCTTATAATATAGTAGCTTCAAAGTGTACCGTTTTGGTACATTTGTACCGCAGGAACAAATAGGTACCAAAGTACAGAGCGCTTCTTACCCCGCCCAGACAGGTGGGGGGTTATAAATTGTTCTAGAAATTCTCGTACCCCAAACAACTGTGAATCGGCGGCTGGTCAACGAGAGATCAGACAGTGTTTACAAAAGCTGATTAATTCGTAATTAAATTAAAAACGCGAGATAACTACTGCAATTTGATTCGAACACATTAAATAAAATAAGCACTTGCTTGCTTTGACGCTAGGCTGTGCTGAAACACCACCACCTGGCATTAAATGGGTTTATTAGCAGATTCATTTGGAAATTTGGAAACTTTCGATCTAGACGAAAACCGTCTAGATCCTCATAATTTGGCGGGTCACGACGCCAGTGTGGGAGACGCCTCCACAGATCACGCAGGGTCCAGTCGCGCTTCCCCAGATCTCCAGTATCAGCTCGTCTTTATACCGGTAATGGCTTAAAAGGCCCACCACTTACGGGCTATTCATGCCCGTGCCACCTTTTGGAGGGCTTAATCTTCACCACCACCGGAGGAGCTAGGAGAAAAATGTAGAGAGTAGGAGTAGTGTTATCAGTTTCAGTGATAATCATGATGTTTGGGTAGCTGTAATACATTAAGATACTGGTGAAACAGATAAATGTGTTGAAGACAGTGTAAACCTTGTCATGCTAATCCCAACCCCCCCCCCCCCCCCCCACCACACAAATACAACACGCAATACATAACAATTTGCAGTGCATTTTAACTAAGGTTAATGATAATTTACCCATGATCAATATTATCCATTCAAAAATTAAAATTTAACCACAATTATCAGTCTATGATTAAGCAGTCCAAAAACACACATATATCCGTTGATATATCCAACCCACGCATCTGAAAATGAAGAAACGACGACGTTTCGATCTGCCTTGGACCATTATCAAGCCGTGACATATCACACATGTTCACATTATTGACTATCTTGAGATGCTTACGGGGCTTTTTAGTGTCCCCGCGGCCCGGTCCTTGACGAGGCCTCCACCCCCAGGAAGCAGCCCGTGACAGCTGACTAACACCCAGGTACCTATTTACTGCTAGGTAACAGGGGCGTAGGGTGAAAGAAACTCTGCCCATTGTTTCTCTCCGGCGCCCGGGATCGAAGCAGGGACCACAGGATCACAAGTCCAGCGTGCTGTCTGCTCGGCCGACAGGCTCCCCTGTCGGCCGACTATAATAATGTTTCGCACTCGACCGTTTATACAGCATGACATCACAGTTGTCTAGATTTATTTTAAGACTTTCTTTTGTCAGTTAAGTTTCATGTATAGTTGGTGACTTGGCCAGCAACACATAAGCCGAATCTTAACCGTATGTTAACAAATTTATTCTCGTATAATAATAAAAAAATTAATTTCCATGAAAATGTTTACCGCAATTATTATTTTATATAGTTAGTTAATAAGATTAAATAATTATCAGGGGGGATCAAGTTATTATCAACAAAAATCCACATACAACAATTTTCAGCCTGAATGCCTTTATACCTGCTCTTACACCTAAAAATCTCAGGATAACATACGATTTCCAACGATGACCTGCTCATTAATGTTTAAAATGAATCTCATAACACGTCATTCTGTTGACATGAAATAAACAAAAAATGTCCGCCACAGAAGCCCTTGCAGCGGCCAACGTGTACCTCCTAGCTGTCCATTACTCTTTATCGCCAAGTTTATTACAACAGCCGACAGACCACATGCGAAGAATTATAATATGAAACGTTTGCAGCACTTAGGTAATATGTATAAAATACATATAAGCTAAGTAAGCCACAGTGTTGTGGGCGGCTTGGCGATCTGTCGCCAGCGTGGTGCTGTAGTTTGTGCATCTCACTCCATTAACACCATTGACTGGCCAGTAACTAGTTGGGTGACCACAGGGACAGTCTCACCCTTAGTTAGGGGGCGCCTTAACAAGCCCAGCGGGCTACCTGTCTCATTAATGGGACAAACACAACCTACACCATTCAGCAGCCGCCTTACTTACTTGACCCTCCACACTGGACAGCTGTACAAATTACGAGCCTAACTGAATTAATGATTTACACGACGTATTATATATTATTTCAATTATTATTTTAGCAATATAAAATGACAGTCCTTAAAATGCAATCACTTCACTTCAATGTCCAAAGAGCTTGGAAAAGTCGGGGGATGGGGGATGGAGGAAATTCGTAAAGAGGATGAGGAGGCTAAAAAGTTCGATAGCCTATCCACCGTGGGTTGACGTAGAGTTTATATATACATATATAATATCGGCCAAAATAAGAGTCACCCGTTGTCAGAAATTTTCAAATTCCTAGCTTGTCAAAGCTGATGCGGTGGTGCCAAGTTATAATATTCCCTCCCCCCAGCAGGCTTGTGTTGAAGTTTCGGGTAGCCAATAATCTATTACTAGTTAGTAGAGGTGGTTAGAAATGGTGCAAACAAATTAAGTGTATCTTTTGCACTTGCCAATGTCCCATCCTGAATTGTATAATTGTTATTAGAAAATAAGTAGTTAATCTAGATTTATTTATTTATTTATTTTATTTATTTATATATATACAAGAAGGTACATTGGGTTTGTGAGAATACATTGGATAGTACAGTATTTACACTCTTGTAAAGCCACTAGTACGCACAGCGTTTCGGGCAGGTCCTTAATCTAGCAGATAATTTTAAGTAGGTAATTTCAATCAGAATTGATAAATGATAAAGATACATTACAAGATAAAAAAAATTTGGCATTTATGTTGTCTGTAAGAGTTCCACAGGCTCTTGAAAGTGGGTTGGCTTTGTGGTTTCAGGATGCCGGGCTGATTCCTTCGCGGCTGCTAATAATAGGATAAGTACCATTTAATCTTTGTTCAGGTTAGGTTTAATATATCAAGCATGTTACTTATTGATTGATACTGTGCTATTTTTGTGGAAGGATTTTCATTTACAGTAGATTTATTAGTACTAGACTCAATGGCCATAGTTTAAAGTGACACTAGTTGGTTTAGTGAGTATGTATTTTGGTGGGTTTAAGGTAGTGGTATTTGCTCATAGTCTCGTTTCATCCAGTGAAATAATTGTGCTATACTGCAAGGCATTAATGCTGTAGTTCCTTGCTATCGTTCAGGCTTTCTCTGGAATTTGTCAGATATTCGTGTACACAGATTATATTACAGTGTTTCCTCAGTCTAGTACCGAGGTGGGGCTTGACCATTCATTTGGTTAAGGGAATTATTGCCAGTAAGTGATAACTGCCCAAGCCATGGTGCAAGGGGATCTCTGCATAGATGTGGACAAACATCAATTACATAAGAAGAACATAAGAACATAAGAACAAAGGTAACTGCAGAAGGCCTATTGGCCCATACGAGGCAGCTCCTATTCTATAACCACCCAATCCCACTCATATACTTGTCCAACCCGCGCTTGAAACAATCGAGGGACCCCACCTCCACAATGTTACGCGGCAATTGGTTCCACAAATCTACAACCCTGTTACTGAACCAGTATTTACCCAAGTCTTTCCTAAATCTAAACTTATCCAATTTATACCCATTGTTTCGTGTTCTGTCCTGTGTTGATACTTTTAATACCCTATTAATATCCCCCTTGTTATGTCCATTCACCCACTTGTAAACCTCTATCATGTCGCCCCTAACTCTTCGCCTTTCCAGTGAATGCAACTTAAGCTTTGTTAATCTTTCTTCATATGAAAGATTTCTAATTTGGGGAATTAACTTAGTCATCCTACGCTGGACACGTTCAAGTGAATTTATATCCATTCTGTAATATGGCGGAATTGGTTTGTTTGTATCTGGAATTTTCCGCTAAAAAGGTGGATCACCATTAGCAGATAACCTATCTGTGTCTAATTGGACTTCTCGGATTCAGCCAATTCTCTCACTACCTGGTAAGTGGTACCTTATGACCCGGGATCCAATATCGAATTCTTATGGAAATCCCAATATCTTTCTCCCTCTGACTCTTGCGGCTTACAACGAGGCCCACGAGTCGTGCCATTCTGGAAGATTTACTTCCTTACCCCAGGAAAAGCTCCCTGATGGCCACACAGCTGCTGCTTGTGCTGGACCCTGAACCTTGCTCCAGTGCACTGTCTTTTTTTTTTTTTTTTTTTTTTGAGATATATACAAAACTTGTTACATTCTTGTACAGCCACTAGTACGCATAGCGTTTCGGGCAAGTCCCTGGAATACGATCCCCGCCGCGAAGAATCGTTGTTACAACCAAGTACACATTTTACTGTTGCGTTAAACAGAGGCTACAGTTAAGGATTTGCGCCAAGTAAATCCTCCCCGGCCAGGATACGAACCCATGACAAAGCGCTCGCGAAACGCCAGGCGAGTGTCTTACCACTACACCACGGAGACGTATTTTTTTTTTTTTTTAATCAAGGGCCAAGAATATCATATTTAGCCTTTTTATTGATGCATTAATTACGCTGTTTCGGTCCTGTTTACTGGCATACCATTGAGTTACCCTCTTTAAGTTTATCGAAGTTGCTTTAACAAAAGGTGAGGCTGTCCCCGTGATCACCCAACCAGGTACTGACCAGAGCAAGAATTCTACAAGCTTGGTTAGCTTGTTAGCCACATTAAATATGCGACCACTCAAGAGATCTGTACCTCTTACCTCCATCATGGTAACTTAATCTGAATTTATTATTCAGTTTACAAGCTATGAAGTGCTACGAGGTCGTCCTCAAGCCAAGGATATTATTGTTATAGACGATCTATTAGTGCGTTGGAGCTCTTAAATTGTTAATTACGAAGCCTCATCGATGGAGGTACAAGATACTTATTAAGACACTTGACTAGCTCATCAAGATTGTAACTTGCTTAGCTAAATGAATTGTGAGGTTCAGTCCCTGAGCCCATTATGTGCCTCTGTAACCCTTTCCACTACCGCCCACAAGATGGGTATGGGGTGCATAATAAATGAACTAAACTAACTAAGACACTTGAGTGTTCTGTGAATCCTCACTCAGAGCTGACTGACCAAGTGGCTCATACATCTAAAATATTGTCCACTGACTATATTAAAGTTTATAATTACCTGTTTACAGTATAACATGTTCATATATCTTTGATATAAATGACAAGCCTTACAAATGATATTTAATTAGAAATGCAAGTGGTATTAGGTTAATGGCGCCTTTGTAAAGTTTGGTTACTATGATTGCTTAAGTTTTTAAGTTTATGTATTAATAAATTTCACCAGAAGGTATATTCCATATTTCCTGAGAAGAAAGGGCATGATCAAAGTTTGTATAATATTGTTTATTGAAGTCAGAATAATTAAAATAAAACTGCTTCAATATCAGAACGAGACAGGTCCAACATCAGTACTATTCAGCTCCAACATCGGCACTAAACAGGTCCAACATCGGTACTAAACAGGTCCAACATCGGTACTAAACAGGTCCAACATCGGTACTAAACAGGTCCATCATCGATACTAAACAGGTCCAACATCGGCACTAAACAGGTCCAACATCGGTACTAAACAGGTCCAACATCGGCACTAAACAGGTCCAACATCGGCACTAAAAATCCCAAAGAACAATAAATTGACTTAAAGTGGTGACCAAAGGCTATATGCAAACATTAATACATATTAAAATGTGGGTATTCTTGTGAGTATTTAAAAACAAATTTTGGCTCTAAACATCTATGGTAAATTAATAAGTCATTATGGATGAATGACTCATTAATAATGAATGATCCACTAATAATGAATGAATAAATGAATGAAGGGTGAAGAGGTCGAACAGCTTGTTGACAGAGCCCGGGTGCATGGGGGGGGAATTGTGTAAAACCCTGGTTGTGTCTCGGAGAGGCTGCAGGATCCGTGGTAGGTCAGTGGAACTCCCGGTTGTAATTCTTTTATCATGTCGTGGCACAGTCGATTAAAGCGCGCCTGGGATTCTCTCGGACGAAGGTTCGAACCCCCATCACGGCCCTTGTGGATTTGTTCACTTATATTTTTGATATCCCCAAAGTCAAACTAAATCTGTGCAAACATTCCATGCAAATAAAAGGACCCAGTCTATGGAACTCACTCCCTGTTGAATTAAAAGATTGTCCAACCTAAGCCTTATTCAAAAGTAAAACCAAAAAGTACCTAATTTCATCCCCATAGTTTCCTACCTTGTGCTTCAAACTCACACTGTATCTTGTGCTACCCACTTGCCAAATATTAGTACTTAAGACATATATCTTCACTAGTGTAATAACCTATCAATTTATATTGAAGTTATATGTTGATATACAATTTTGCTACAATGTACCTTTTCATCTTACCTGATGTGTTAGACTAAGGACCTGCCCGGAAAGCTATGCCTGTTAGTGGCTTTGCATGAATGTAAAAATACTAATCTTATGTAATCTCACAAACCCATTATTGATATTATTATTATTTATTATTATTATTATTATTATTATTATTATTATTATTATTATTATTACATAGGTACCTGGGAGTTGGTCAACTGTCTTGGGTTTGCATCCAGGGGAGGGACAGTTGTTCGACCTTGTGATGGGGGCGGGGAGACCTCGATATAAGCCTAACGTATATATATATAATATATATATATATGTATATATATATATATATATATATATATATATATATATATATATATATATATATATGTATATATATACGTTTTATATTATATATACGTTATATAGCTTAGGTATATATAGGCAGCTTATATATATGTACCAAAGCTGCCTGTCCCTGACAAAAATAAATTAAAAATATTATAATGTAAACATTCCTAAACACCGAATTGTATAGTTGGTGAGTGACTTATTTGGGTCGGCGGCGGCGTACAATTCAGAACTGGAATGAACGTGGAGACCTTGTGAGTTAGTGGTGTGGGAGCCGTGACTACTATGGCGCCAGGGTGGTGGATGTGTCGTCCTCCAGGACCTCTACCATGGTCTTGATGAGGTCGTAGGGCCGGTCGCTGCAGCGGCCGTGGAAGTCCTCCATCTCCAGACTCCACACCAACACACCGGCCAGGTTCTTATCCTTGACGTACTGCGCCTGCGTCCCCAATGATAACTATTAGTTAAACAGCACTACAAATATAGGAGAGTAATGTGATAGCCTTAAAATATGTAAATTCTTAATTAAAACGTTCTGTCAGTAGACATATTTTCTCATTCTACACATAAGAGTTAATGTTTATAGTGCAGAACTATATGCATCAATTTGAAACTGGTTCAGTGTGAAGTATGTACATGCACAGAGGTCGTTGCAAGGGAAAGTTCCGAGATTACACCGCACCTTGATGGCAGCAGAGTCGTGGTTCTCATACGAGCACCAGATCTTGTAGTGAGGAATTGAGTAGGCGTAGGGTTCGTTGCAACCCTCTGCCACTGTCACTGTCCAGCTTTCCTTGTTTATGTAGTTACATATCTGTAGATCATGTCAGTTATCATATTAGTGTTTAATAACTATAGGTTAAGAACTCAATAGTTAATAATCTGCAACAGCCTTCTTCATTTGAGACCAAGAACAGTTTAAGTTCACTGTGAATATTATTATAACCTAGCTGACTAACCATACAGCCCGTCCTCCTAAGGTTTCCCAACGTCAAGAAAACGGTCAATTTAAAGTGTCCTCTCCTAACCTACCAGAGGACCCAAAACAGAAAACGGGACAGTACGTCACCTTCGCCAGCCGCTTCCATTTTCTAGTACGACAATTTTTGGCCTTATGTAACGCATTCGATCGAAATGCGACGTCTCTTTGTAAGAGGACAGATTATTATGGTTAATACTTGCCTCGTTATAGCCGAGTAAGCCAGCGGTGGCTGTGTAAGGTCCTGCTGTCCCAGGGTTGCTTGCTGGGGCGTTGTAGCCGTGAATGGCTTCATTGTCCAGGGTCCAACACCGGGCGAAGGTAGGAACAGCCATTGTTAGCTTGGTGCTAGGCATCCCTCCGTCTATCCAGTAGTTTATGGAGAAGTTCTGTGTCAAACCACTTGTCATGAAATTTACTTTGCATTCATGTATATATATGTGCTTATATGTGTCTCACGCTGTAAAAATATGAGATTTAGATGCACGGTACCTGGTTGAGGATGAGGTTGACGCCAGTTTCTCCAGGGTAAGGGTAGAGGCCAGACTGGTGTTGGGTGTACGGATCCCATGAGCCGTAATAATCGTAGGTCATTACGTTGACTAGGTCCACGTATGGGACCATGGCGGGAATATCGTAGGCGGCGTCGATGATGTCCCGTGCAGCAGACACGCCGACCATCAGTAACATATCATTGGAGTGCAGTGCTTCGTCCAGCTCACGCAGCAGGGTTATATAATTCACCTGCAAGATGAATTAGCGTTACAGGAGTCTGCAATAAAGACTAAACATTACACAAGTATCTCCCAACCAGTTTAAGATAAAAACTAAGTACTACCTAATTAAGTCAATGTAACCTACCTCACCCCCAAAATGTCATCCCATGTCTTCTATTTTAAACAATGCTGTTTTGTTGACCAAATTGTATTTTTGCTTTTTTTTCTGCCATGTTCCCCCCCCTTTTTTTATTTTTTTTCTTATTTTTTCTCAGCACAATTTATACTTTAATCTCAATTAGTATTAAGTTTTAGTCTTAGTGTTTTTCCTGCCCGAAACGCTTTGCGTAATAGTGGCTTTAGGCATTGTATGTACTAGCTCTATCTATAAATCCATCAACTTTTGTATCTTACCTTGTATGCTTGTACCTTACCTGAATAAAAATTTATTTATTATTTATTTATTATAGATTAGCTTAGATGTATTCGTGATGTGACATCAGTAAGTATACTACGTTACACTAAAAGTGCCGAGAATATTGAATGAGAATTAAGCCTCTTTAATTTACACTGTACTTAGTAAAATATCTGACATTATTACACTGTAACAGTTCGCTTCTAGTAGGTAAAGGACAATTTATTATTAATATATTAATTTTGTAGCCTAATATAAAAAACCCACTTCAATTACCATGTAATATTCAGTGTTGATATGTTAAGTATTACCAAAATTATTTACCTAAATGAGACGTATTATATCGTTATACATTTTACAATTCGTAAATAAAAGTAAAGTAAGTAAATTTAAGTAAAGTAAATTAACAATTAAGTTACAATTCGAGCAGAGTTCTGCTACTAGCTATCATTATAATTAAATATAAAATGTACTAATATTTTCAGATAAATCCATGTCAAAAATATGCACTGGGTCTGATTAAGACCTTTTGTGCCCTCTGTAATCCTTTTGCGTTACCGCTGACAGGATGAGTATGGGGTGCACACGAAACTGCCGCGCACAGAATGTGTGGGGTGCACAATACACCACCGTTCACAGATGAGTATGGAGTGCACTATAAACTACCGTTCACAGGATGAGTATGGGATACATAATGTACTACCGCTCACAGAATGAGTATAGGGGTGCACATTACACTACCGCTCACAGGATGAACAGAGTAGGACTGAGGACACCTCCCTGTGGAGTGTCAAGTTCAAAATCTCTCGTTACACTTGATGCCCTTGTACAGATGACTTCCTGTTGGATCTGTACCGCAATGTTGTAGCCAGACTGGGACGTCAATGTAGAGAGAGAGGCTCTGTGCTCTCAAGGCTGTGGCAAGCTACTATCCAAGCTACGGTGCAAATATGAGAATTGGCAAAATGATGTATCTCTCAAATATTAGATCTGTGATCGATTATGCCACACCAATGCTTGCTCTAGTGCCCGAGAGAATGCTTAGAGGGATGGAAAAGATGCAAAACGAAGCCATGATGATGATTATCCTCGGATGAGGATATTAAATTACTAAACATGAGGAAGAAACTGAATATTTCCTGTGTAAGTGATCGTATCACTGAAATTAATGTTTTAATTGGTATCAAGATGCTTATGCTAAGCCCACCTTAACCCCTGCATTAGGCTAAGCCCACCTTAACCCCTGCATTAGGCTAAGCCCACCTTAACCCCTGCATTAGGCTAAGCCCACCTTAACCTCTGCATTAGGCTAAGCCCACCTTAACCCCTGCATTAGGCTAAGCCCACCTTAACCCCTGCATTAGGCTAAGCCCACCTTAACCCCTGCATTAGGCTAAGCCCACCTTAACCCCTGCATTAGGCTAAGCCCACCTTAACCTCTGCATTGAAGCCCTCCAAGCCTTCTTTCTTGAAGGTCAGCATCCCTCCAAATGAATTACCGAAACCGCCACTGTGCTCAGAATGTATAATATTCTTCACCTCTACCGAGAGAGACAGTAATGACACTTTCCTGCTCCGTGGGAGATCACACCTTTCCAATACACACATAAATCACAATATCGTGATACATCAAATGAACAAATCACACAGAGGGTGGACGGTTCGTTTGGCTAAGGAGTTTTTTGAATATGAACCACTATTCAAGGAGGGTCTTCACCGGCCCTATATAACAGTTGGGACAGAGGAGGCCGTGGAACACCTAACGAAGGATGGCTTTGAGAATATTGTGATGGTTACTCCGGAAAAAGGTATGATGTACACCAAGGTCATAGTGTTTAAGTATCCAACTTATTTGGATCCTGATTATCTATTGCTCAACAATGATAGTGTTGTTTGGGCAAAGAGGAACAGTGTTCGTGGTGAAAAACAAAGCCAGGTTGTTGCCTTGGTAAAGGGTGAGGCTCCAGAAAGAATTTTTGTGCAAGGACTAGGCTACAGGAAAGTTGTAAAATACATTGAGGAGCCCATATTATGCATGAAGTGTTCTCGTTGGGGACATATGGCTTGGAAATGCCAGTTTGACTCCAGGTGTCGGTACTGTGGTAAGAAACACGACTCTCGAGAGTGTAGAGTCAAGATTAAAAACGGTGAAAAAATCGTCCCATCTTGTTGCAATTGTCGAGGAAGCCACAATGCTGGTTCCTATCTATGTCGCATGAAGCCTCATCTGAGAGACTCGAGGACGGGTGCTACAAGCAGGATAGATGTATCCTCGAAGGAAGGAAAGATTGTGCAGCAGGAACATGGAGGAAACAGTTGGAAGCCAATGACAGCGCCTATGAACAATGTGTGGGAGAAAGGAACAGAGACAATTAAGGCGAGCCTAGGGAAAGTAGGAAATGCAGCTGAAAAAATTAAACCTTGTGGAAACAAGGTTCAGGTCAATATAGTGAACTCTGAGGTTGGTACTCAAATATTGGAATATCTAAAAAAACTAGAAAAGAGGATTGAGGCATTAGAAAAATTAACTATGGGGGGTAGACGGGGTGAAGATGGTGGTGAAACAGGACGTGAAGTGGAAAGTGAAACAGGACGTGAAATGGAAAGTGAAACAGGACGTGAAATGGAAAGTGAAACAGGACGTGAAATGGAAAGCCAAACAGGACGTGAAATGGAAAGCCAAACAGGACGTGAAATGGAAAGCCAAACAGGACGTGAAATGAAAAGCCAAACAGGACGTGAAATGGAAAGTGAAACAGGACGTGAAATGGAAAGTGAAACAGGACGTGAAATGGAAAGTCAAACAGGACGTGAAATGGAAAGTGAAATAGGACGTGAAGTGGAAAGTGAAACAGGACGTGAAATGTGCGTTGAAGAAAGTAAGGAAGAACATGACGTATTGATGATAGAGGATAGTCAGGAAAATGAACTTTCTAGTAGTGTTAGCGTTCAACCTTCTGTAGTGACAAATGTCGAAACAAAGGTTAAAGTAAAACGGTATAGAGAAATAAGAAAGAAATTAGATATGAATAAGATCACCTTTGATGCTAGTAGCTGTTGTGCAAATGAGGAGAAAGCAGAAATGTTACAGTGTTGGGAGAGTCTGTCTGAGAAAATCTCGTATCTCATGGAATGTGACAGACAGGGCAAAGGTAGTTTTATTAAATCATGGATGAAAGTAGAGTGAGAATATTATCTTGGAGCGTTAATGGGTTAAAATCTAGTGCGGTGGATGTACACTATTATACTCTTAGATAGTACTATATTAACCTGATATGTTACATGGGATTCTTGTATTTGTACTCACTGAATTTGTGCGCCCCTTGAGGGACTTGAAGTATGGGTAGGGGTAGAAATAGCCTAAGCAAATCTTTGATTTTTTTTTTTTTTTTTTTTTTTTTTTTTTTTTTTTTTTTAACTTGTCTCAATAAACCTACTTGAACTTGGAAGAACATTATGTATTAAAGTGTCAAATTATGGATAACCATAGAAATAAGGAAATAAGTAGTGTACCACTTCAAATTGTTTGGATGTGTGATAATGATATGATAGACAGAATACTTAGGAACTACAAGAATTTTGCCCCAATGATTGTAACACTTACTATATTAATATGCAATGTTAAATGTTGTATTGTGATTTGTGTATCTGTACTCACTGAATTTGTGCGCCCCTTGAGGGACTTGAAGTAGAGGGGGGTAGAAATAGCCTAAGCTACTCTATCCCTTTGAGATGTATTTTTTTCTTGTCTCAATAAACATACTTGAACTTGAACTTGAACACACAGAGGATCATTCAGAACGTAGGTTCGAACCCCTCATTACGGCCCTTGTGGATTTGTTCACACACCTTTCCAAATTACTGTCCCCCCCCCCCTTTCCCACCCAAGAAGTTGATGAACAAGCCTTGCCTCGACAAGAAGCAAAGTACAATGCTTTAAGTCAAATTGATGCATTGGTCAGAGAGCGCTCCCTTTCCCTAATTATTTACTCTGATGGCTCGCTTGCACCAGTCCTATGGTGCAGCTGGAAGTGCAGTTGTGACAGCGAGAGATGGTTCCTTTTCCTATGAGTGTGGAGCGCATTCCACCACCATCCACGGGATGGTGGTGGAATGCATAATGAAGAAAGAATCTGAATCACAAGATGAGCATGGAGTGCACAATAAACTACCGCTCACATGATGAGTACAGAGTGCACAATAAACTACCGCTCACATGATGAGTACAGAGTGCACAATAAACTACCGCTCACATGATGAGTACAGAGTGCACAATAAACTACCGCTCACACGATGAGTACAAAGTGCACAATAAACTACCGCTCACACGATGAGTACAGAGTGCACAATAAACTACCGCTCACACGATGAGTACAGAGTGCACAATAAACTACCGCTCACATGATGAGTACAGAGTGCACAATAAACTACCGCTCACATGATGAGTACAGAGTACACAATAAACTACCGCTCACACGATGAGTACAGAATGCACAATAAACTACCGCTCACATGATGAGTACAAAGTGCACAATAAACTACCGCTCACATGATGAGTACAGAGTGCACAATAAACTACCGCTCACATGATGAGTACAGAGTGCACAATAAACTACCGTTCACATGATGAGTACAGAGTGCACAATAAACTACCGCTCACATGATGAGTACAGAGTGCACAATAAACTACCGCTCACACGATGATTATGGGTTTCACACTAAACGAAGCCTCAGTGATGAGTATGTGGTGAACAATAAACTAAGACTTGCGAATTGAGTATGGGGTGCACACTAAACGAACGCTCACATGATGAGTACTGGGTGCACAATAAACTAGCCTCCGCTGGCGGTAATAACCAAAATTAAATAAATGAGCACCACTAGAAGAATAAGCACTACCTCGCTTCCCTACTGTAATGATTCCAAGACTATAGAACCTCATCTACCAGCCTACCTCCTAGTTCCCTAACACGAAGCCTCATCCCCAAAAACGCTAAATGACGTAGCATACACAACCAAACCTTTGTTGATATTTACTGTAATTACTAATTTGTTTTAGGTGCTTCAATCCCTAAAGGTTACAAAATCCCCCGAAGAAACTGTCTAGTCAGTCACTGTAACTGCTATTATGATTAAAAGTTGGATTACTGTTTAAGATAATAATGACTGACCTTGTCCACAAAGGAGCCGCCGCGCTGGGTTGGGTACATCCAATCCAAGTCAAGACCGTCGAATTTGTGAGTCTTTAGCAGTACTATAGTAGAGTCAATGAAAGTCTTTCTCTTGAAGGAATCTGCCGCCATCTGTGGGTAACAGTTACATTTGTAGTAAGATACAGTCACACAGGGGTAGTTTGTTGTAAGGCAGTCATATAGGGGTAGTTTGCTGTAAGACGGTTACAGAGGTAGTTTGTCGTAAGACAATCATATAGGGGTAGTTTGCTGTAAGACACACGGGTTTGTTGTGATACACGGGGTACTCTGGCCATTACCCAGCCTTATTGTCTTGTATATGGTTAAGACCAGAGAGGATCATATGTAATGGGGGCTAAGGGATAACATTCAAGTGTATGCCTCCTTCGGAGATTGTAGGCCTACATATAGTATCATGTTTGTAAGTCTTACTCCTGCCAATGTTGGGTATTATTCATAACATAAATGCAGATAGGTAGTGGAAGCGGGGTTTAGTAATGGTGGGGTCTGCGGTTAAATAAAATAAAATAATATAAAGTCCTAGAAGTTTACGTGCACTAGTGAAGGGTTAGGGTATCATCCTCTTATCATCCTTATCTATCCTCCTCTATATTAATACATCTTCAGAAGGAGTCACTCCTTCTGAAGATGTATTAATATACGAAAGTACTTAAGGAAATTCCTGTTTCAATTTTCCTCCGTGGTCTGACACTGTCACATTTTTAATCACGTGTTTATTTTCGTGATATATACACACACACACACACACACACATATATATATATATATATATATATATATATATATATATATATATATATATATATATATATATATATATATATATATATATATTGGTAGCAGTCTTTCCTGTAGACATATATTATTAAATATGACCGAAAAAGTAAGATTAATAATTCTAACACGAATTTTCTCAATCTTTCGTACATTTCTTTTCACTGTTGGAGGTAATTCAAAAATCAATTCTCCAAAATTCATTTTTATTTCTAGTCTGACGCGACACTTGAGCGCGTTTCGTAAAACGCGCTGTTTATTTTTGTTTTATATTTTTGTTTATGATAAACAATATCAATGTCTTTGTTTATGATAAACAAGTCTCATCAACCCACTCCACTTACATTATAGTAAGACACTATGATTTAACTCAGTTTACTCTTTATTAAAAATAATACTTGAAAATATTATTTGAAAATGTAATAAGTTTTACGAAACGCGCTCGTGTCGCGTCAGACTAGAAATAAAAATGAATTTTGGAGAAGTGATTTTTGATTTACCTCCAACAGTGAAGCGTAATGTACGAAAGATTGAGAAAATTCGTGTTAGAAATATTAATCTTACTTTTTCGGTCATATTAATAATATATATATATATATATATATATATATATATATATATATATATATATATATATATATATATATATGTGTGTATATCACGAAAATAAACACGTGATTAAGAATGTGACAATGTCAGACCACGGAGGAAAAATGAAACAGGAATTTCCTTAAGTACTTTCGTATATTAAATACATCTTCAGAAGGTGACCTTCTGAAGATGTATTTAATATACGAAAGTACTTAAGGAAATTCCTGTTTCATTTTTCCTCCGTGGTCTGACATTGTCATAATATATATATATATATATATATATATATATATATATATATATATATATATATATATATATATATATATATATATATATATATATTATATATAATATATATATGTGTGTGTGTGTGAATTTGATCAGGAAGCAGCTGTTACATGACAATAACGATAGGCCAGGGCCTTTGAGCGATCACACTTTTACGCTAGGATGGAGAGTGACCAGGATTTTCAGGTCAAACCTTGGTAAATCGAATAATCGTTACAAGATTACGACGTAACGTAACGTCACAAGGTGTGACGTAACCATTTACGTCACAAGGTGTATCACAGATATGGGGCGAGACACGTGATACAAAGCCTAAGGCATTCGGCCATGCCAAGGCGCGGCCGAACAAGGAGCGACAGTGGAGTTCAGGAGTCTTATTACAGACTCAAGGACCAACAAGTCGTTTGTGGGAGGATCGAGGGGACGAGGTTCCTGGAGCTGGGAATGTTTAGCTCCTTCGACTGTGTTGGAGTCGAACTCTTATAGGTGTGAGTGACTATAAGGGGTAATGAAAGACTAAACAGGGGAATGGACTTGAAGAGTTCTAGATTAGGATGTTAGTACTTAGATATTGACCGGTTAAGGGCCATTGTAAGGACTGGTTAGATTCCAAGGTATAGACTGGTTAGGGTTCAATGTGGGTTGAAGGTATGGGCCGGTTATCAATGTATGGGCCGATTAGAGTCCAGAGTGTGGGCCGGATAAGTCCACCCTGCCTGGCAAGTGTAGTCTGGCAGGCTTAGTGACACCCTTTCACAGTAATTTATCAAGTCGAAAGAAGATACTTATGTAATTGTTCATAGTCTATTCTATTTTAAAATTACATTGAAATGTATTTGAAGTTCTAATGCCTTTCCTTGTACTTAATATGTGTGTCGCGACTCCAAAGGTGCATCTCAAGAGACTAGAATTAAAGGTGATGACATATGATGCACACTGAATATAATTATAATATGCTGAATACTTGATAATGAGTTTATCAACATTAGTAAATTTGCATCATTTTAAACTGCATGAAGTGTTTCTAGTGCATAGAGTAATGCACTGCTGGAGTGCTTGATGTGACTGGAGTACATGAAGTGCGTGTAGTATATAGAATATTTGTTGTGCCTGGAGTTATTGTAACGCTTAGAATGTATCGCGTGATTGGAGGGCCTCGAATACATGGAGTGGTTGGAGGACCTTGAATAAGTGTAGTTCCTGGAGTAATGGGAGACATGCAATGGATAGCCTAGCCGAGGGTTTACCCTGTTAACATGTTTAGAGAAAACGTGTGCATGTGACAGAGACTACAACGCGTCTTGTAAATGAGGTTTGTGATGACGTACATTAGAGTATGAAGTAGATCCCTCGTTCCAGCCGCCCACACCCAGCAGTGTAAACAGGTCGGCGTTCTGGCTCTTAAGGTCGGTGAACTTATCGTAGCCGCACTTGCCATAGTCGACACACAAGTCATTGTACGGGTCCAACACCTGCAGGAAATCATTACATTCGATGAGCGCCTCGCCGAGAATCCGTTATCTTGACTGATACTAAACATTTAAGGAAAAACCCTTTTTACTGCCGAAGAGAACATTATTATATATCATTTACGGAACGAAGAGATTTATAACAAAATATATAATCGAATTTTAAAAAGTGTAATCAATCCGTGGAGGCGTGGAGCTCTCACCTTGATGGTGTAGTCGGTGTTGAGGCCAGCGAAGGCATATATGACGTGAGTACAGATGTTAGGGTCGATGTTGGCCGCCTCAAACTTACCATCACCACTCCTATAACCCGCCCACGACCCGAAGTAACACACCATCGCGCTCTCTGGTCGAGAAACACACAGTTAGAAACATTTCTTCATTCTCGAGCTATATTTTGAGTTACAGAAAAATGTAGCTTTCGAACAATATATTGGGTTTCATTCAACCATTTATATTTCAGCAGCTAAATGTTTTTACGTAATATCTTCTTTCAGAATGTTACTTTAGAGTGTATTTTACTTGTTAAGCTCAAATCTTAAAAAAATATGTTGAGAGATAATCTTAAACTGTAAAGTTGAGGTCGACGCTAGGATTGGTGTTAGGCCTTTCAACCTTGCGAGGGTCATTAAAGACCACCATAATAGGTTACCGACTAACCAGCAAGTATACTTCAGTCCTGAACATACCCCAAGACTAAAGTATAAGACACTTATATGAGAGGCCAGTCGGGTTTGAGAATAATGGAATCCTTATATAACAGGAAGCTGCGGCTTCTGTTAAATAGCAACCTCTCGGCTGTTGAACTGTATACTATATAGTGCACAGTAAACCTTGTAATTTGATTTACAGTTCATACTGACATTTTTTTTAATTTGTTTTAGTTTACCATGTTTTTTTCTGTTTTTTTCTTATTTCAAGTGTTTATATTGTATATTATTATAGTCTTTTATTTAAGACATACAATACATTTTTTGATATTTAGTTTTGTTTAATATTTAAGTATTCATGAGGTTTTGGCTAGTATTTTATAATTGTTTTCTATTAGGCTTGTCTTTTATATAACTTTTTTGTAAGTGTGAAGTCATTATTAAAATAGTTGTATTATTGTTGTTTATCCATGTGTTAATTATCAAGGTTCATTACTTTATAATCACTTCACGTAAGTTTAATAGTGTGGTTTGTTCTAGTAGTTAATTTAATGATGATTGATTTTGCATTTATGTTCTATGTGACAGTTTTATTAGGTTTGATCACTTTAAGTAAGCTTAAGTGCTTTGTCTTATATCTTGTATTAGGTTTGATCACTTTAAGTAAGCTTAAGTGCTTTGTGTTATATCTTGTATTAGGTTTGATCACTTTAAGTAAGCTTAAGGGCTTTGTGTTATATCTTGTATTAGGTTTGATCACTTTAAGTAAGCTTAAGTGCTTTGTGTTATATCTTGTATTAGGTTTGATCACTTTAAGTAAGCTTAAGTGCTTTGTGGTATATCTTGTATTAGGTTTGATCACTTTAAGTAAGCTTAAGTGCTTTGTGTTATATCTTGTATTAGGTTTGATCACTTTAAGTAAGCTTAAGTGCTTTGTGTTATATCTTGTATTAGGTTTGATCACTTTAAGTAAGCTTAAGTGCTTTGTGTTATATCTTGTATTAGGTTTGATCACTTTAAGTAAGCTTAAGTGCTTTGTGTTATATCTTGTATTAGGTTTGATCACTTTAAGTAAGCTTAAGTGCTTTGTGTTATATCTTGTATTAGGTTTGATCACTTTAAGTAAGCTTAAGTGCTTTGTGTTATATCTTGTATTAGGTTTGATCACTTTAAGTAAGCTTAAGTGCTTTGTCTTATATCTTGTGTCGTTCGATATCTCCTTTCTTTTGATAGGTAATTTTATTCAGTATAATAGTAGTCAAAGAACAAGTTCTTTGTTTGCTTGTTATTTTATTGTGACTTCTGTTTTTTCTTTTAACTCTGATGATGAATACGAGAAGTATGCGACACGTCATGCATTTTAAAGTAAAGATTCTGAAACAACATGTATTATATCAATGGTTTTCCTATTCATTTTAAATTAGTGGATATATATATATATATATATATATATATATATATATATATATATATATATATATATAATATATATATATAATATATATATATATATAATATAATATATATATAATATTTATATATATATATTTATATATATATATATATATATATATATATATATATATATATATATATATATATATATATATATATATATATATATAATATATATAATATAATATATATTTCTAGTCTGACGCGACGCTTGAACGCGTTTCGTAATAACTTATTACATTTTCAAAGACTTTAGTTTACACACACACAACTGTAACCTGACAACACTAAACAGAGTTTTACTTATGCTAACACTAAACAGGTTGTCTTGTATACTCGCATTTGGGTGAGGTGATATATTACAACAGTTTTGGATGAGGTGAACAAACCTTTGACCAACACAAGACACAACACGGAACAATGGGCATTAATTGGATAAATGAGAGGGAAGAATGGAAGTAACTGCAAAGGGCCTATTGGCCCATACTTCCTCTTGATGCTTCTATATTGGTGCGGAGTCTTGAAGTGGGTAGAATATAGTTGTGCATTAATTGGCTGTTGATTGCTGGTGTTGACTTCTTGATGTGTAGTGCCTCGCAGATGTCAAGCCGCCTGCTATCGCTGTATCTATCGATGATTTCTGTGTTGTTTGTTAAGACTTCTCTGGTGATGGTCTGGTTGTGGGAAGAGATTATATGTTCCTTAATGGAGCCCTGTTATAGGCAAGACAACAACATCTCTTTCCAGGCGATTAACAATGCATAAGCAACAGGGCTCCATTAAGGAACATATAATCTCTTCCCACAACCAGACCATCACCAGAGAAGTCTTAACAAACAACTCAGAAATCATCGATAGATACAGCGATAGCAGGCGGCTCGACATCTGTGAGGCATTACACATCAAGAAGTCAACACCAGCAATCAACAGCCAAATAATGCACAACTATATTCTACCCACTTCAAGACTCCGCATCAATATAGAAGCATCAAGAGGAAGTATGGGCCAATAGGCCCTTTGCAGTTACTTCCATTCTTCCCTCTCATTTATCCAATTAATGCCCATTGTTCCGTGTTGTGTCTTGTGTTGGTCAAAGGTTTGTTCACCTCATCCAAAACTGTTGTAATATATCACCTCACCCAAATGCGAGTATACAAGACAACCTGTTTAGTGTTAGCATAAGTAAAACTCTGTTTAGTGTTGTCAGGTTACAGTTGTGTGTGTGTAAACTAAAGTCTTTGAAAATGTAATAAGTTATTACGAAACGCGTTCAAGCGTCGCGTCAGACGCGATAAAATTCAATAAAATTCAATAAATCAATAAAAATGAATTTTGGAGAATTGATTTTTCAATTACCATCGACAGTAAAAAGAAACATAAGAAATATTGAGAAAATTCGTGTTAGACTTATTAATCTTACTTTTTCGGTCATACTTAACAACATATGTTTACAAGAAAGACTGATATATATAGCTTTATATTTATAAGAAAAAAATAGAGGAAATATATATTCATATTATATGCATATAATATATATATACGACATATATATATATATATATATATATTTTTTTTTTTTCCAGTGTTAGGTCCGTCTTACCTGAGAGCGCGAGCGTGACCGCGAGGACGCAGAGTGCTGTCAAGTACTTCATCATTGGCACTTCCCGGCAACAAGTGACAGCTTGTGCCAGTGTTCCAAGCTTTATATACCAGATACCAGAGCTCAGTGTGAGGGCATCACTGCGCAGGCGCCAGAGGAAGGCAACAGCAGGCGCCAAGGGCAGGTGCGTCTCTCCTCATACATTTTTTAACTCCATGATTCTCAGCCACTTCATGATGTCTCAGGGTTGGGTTTATTTAAACAGAACGTTAATTACAGATGATTTTATCGCCATATTTTTCAAAGAAATACATATTCTTGAAATGTGGTATCAAAGGCCCTGGGGCCAGATTCACGAAAGCACTTACGCAAGCACTTACGAACGTGTGCATCTTTCCTCAATCTTTGACTGCTTTGTTTACATTTATTGAACAGTTTACAAGTATGAAAACTTCCCAATCAACTGTTGGTATTGTTATAAATAGCCTCCTGGCGCTTCGGAGCTCATTAACTGTTTAATAATTGGAAACAAAGCCGCTAAAGATTGAGAAAAGATGTACAGGTTCGTAAGTGCTTTCGTGAATCTGGCCCCTGGCCTCTTTTTGTCCCACTTTGGAGACCTTTCTCTGCACTAACGTCACAGTTCCCCCCCACTGTGGAGACCTTTCTCTGCACTAACGTCACAGTTCCCCCACACTGTGGAGACCTTTCTCTGCACTAACGTCACAGTTCCCCCCCACTGTGGAGACCTTTCTCTGCACTAACGTCACAGTTCCCCCCCACTGTGGAGACCTTTCTCAGCACTAACGTCACAGTTCCCCCCCACTGTCACCTTTCTCAGCACTGTGGAGACCTTTCTCTGCACTAACGTCACAGTTCCCCCCCACTGTGGAGACCTTTCTCTGCACTAACGTCACAGTTCCCCCCCACTGTGGAGACCTTTCTCTGCACTAACGTCACAGTTCCCCCCACTGTGGAGACCTTTCTCTGCACTAACGTCACAGTTCCCCCCCACTGTGGAGACCTTTCTCTGCACTAACGTCACAGTTCCCCCCCACTGTGGAGACCTTTCTCTGCACTAACGTCACAGTTCCCCCCCACTGTGGAGACCTTTCTCTGCACTAACGTCACAGTTCCCCCCACTGTGGAGACCTTTCTCTGCACTAACGTCACAGTTCCCCCCCACTGTGGAGACCTTTCTCTGCACTAACGTCACAGTTCCCCCCCACTGTGGAGACCTTTCTCAGCACTAACGTCACAGTTCCCCCCCACTGTGGAGACCTTTCTCTGCACTAACGTCACAGTTCCCCCCCACTGTGGAGACCTTTCTCTGCACTAACGTCACAGTTCCCCCCCACTGTGGAGACCTTTCTCTGCACTAACGTCACAGTTCCCCCCCCACTGTGGAGACCTTTCTCAGCACTAACGTCACAGTTCCCCCCCACTGTGGAGACCTTTCTCTGCACTAACGTCACAGTTCCCCCCCACTGTGGAGACCTTTCTCTGCACTAACGTCACAGTTCCCCCCCACTCATCACCACCTCTCCACATTCAGTATTTTGAGTACCCATTCCCGCGGCTTGACTTATCTTAAGGCTTACGGCGTGTTCATTACGGTGCCTGGCTGTGGCATCAGTGGCGTACCTGGTGCCACAGCCAGGTGGCGTACCTGGTGCCACAGCCAGGTGGCGTACCTGGTGCCACAGCCAGGTGGTGTACCTGGTGCCACAGCCAGGTGGCGTACCTGGTGCCACAGCCAGGTGGCGTACCTGGTGCCACAGCCAGGTGGTGTACCTGGTGCCACAGCCAGGTGGTGTACCTGGTGCCACAGCCAGGTACCTGGTGCCACAGCCAGGTGTGTACCTGGTGCCACAGCCAGGTGGCGTACCTGGTGCCACAGCCAGGTGGCGTACCTGGTGCCACAGCCAGGTGGCGTACCTGGTGCCACAGCCAGGTTGTGTACCTGGTGCCACAGCCAGGTTGTGTACCTGGTGCCACAGCCAGGTGGTGTACCTGGTGCCACAGCCAGGTGGCGTACCTGGTGCCACAGCCAGGTGGCGTACCTGGTGCCACAGCCAGGTTGTGTACCTGGTGCCACAGCCAGGTGGCGTACCTGGTGCCACAGCCAGGTGGTGTACCTGGTGCCACAGCCAGGTGGCGTACCTGGTGCCACAGCCAGGTTGTGTACCTGGTGCCACAGCCAGGTGGCGTACCTGGTGCCACAGCCAGGTGGTGTACCTGGTGCCACAGCCAGGTGGCGTACCTGGTGCCACAGCCAGGTGGCGTACCTGGTGCCACAGCCAGGTGGCGTACCTGGTGCCACAGCCAGGTGGCGTACCTGGTGCCACAGCCAGGTTGTGTACCTGGTGCCACAGCCAGGTGGCGTACCTGGTGCCACAGCCAGGTGGTGTACCTGGTGCCACAGCCAGGTGGCGTACCTGGTGCCACAGCCAGGTGGCGTACCTGGTGCCACAGCCAGGTGGCGTACCTGGTGCCACAGCCAGGTGGTGTACCTGGTGCCACAGCCAGGTGGCGTACCTGGTGCCACAGCCAGGTGGTGTACCTGGTGCCACAGCCAGGTGGCGTACCTGGTGCCACAGCCAGGTGGCGTACCTGGTGCCACAGCCAGGTTGTGTACCTGGTGCCACAGCCAGGTTGTGTACCTGGCGCCACAGCCAGGTGGTGTACCTGGTGCCACAGCCAGGTGTACCTGGTGCCACAGCCAGGTGGCGTACCTGGTGCCACAGCCAGGTGGCGTACCTGGTGCCACAGCCAGGTGGCGTACCTGGTGCCACAGCCTGGGTGGTGTACCTGGCGCCACAGCCAGGTGGTGTACCTGGTGCCACAGCCAGGTGGTGTACCTGGTGCCACAGCCAGGTGGTGTACCTGGTGCCACAGCCAGGTGGTGTACCTGGTGCCACAGCCAGGTGGTGTACCTGGTGCCACAGCCAGGTGGTGTACCTGGTGCCACAGCCAGGTACGCTGTTACTCCACTCCGCCCTCACTTATTCTCACCTGCACCCTTCCTCCACTCCCTACTTCCAACACCACTGCTACTCCCTCCACTCTCACTCCCTGCTCCCTCCACCACCACTCCCTGCTCCCTTCACCACCACTCCCTGCTCCCTCCACCACCACTCCCTAACTCCCTCCACCTCTACTCCCTACACCACGACTCCCTACATATATATATATATATATATATATATATATATATATATATATATATATATATATATATATATATATATATATATATATATATATACAATGTCAGACCACGGAGGAAAATGAAACAGGAATTTCCTTAAGTACTTTCCTTTCCATTCATTCCTTCTGAAGATGTATTTAATATACGAAAGTACTTAAGGAAATTCCTGTTTCATTTTCCTCCGTGGTCTGACATTGTCACATTCTTAATCACGTGTTTATTTTCGTGATATATATATATATATATATATATATATATATATATATATATATATATATATATATATATATATATATATATATATATATATACTGTTTAGGAGAGTTGTGCCTTAAGCATAGACACAGTGTTCTCCCATATTAACAGGGACTTCATGAAAAAACGTAAAAATGACCCCTCACTTGCTCTAGTGCTCTTGGGAGGTGGTGGTCTTTGGAGTGTATAAATACTCCGAAATTACCATATATATATATATATATATATATATATATATATATATATATATATATATATATATATATATATATATATATATATATATATATGTCGTACCTAGTAGCCAGAACGCACTTCTCAGCCAACTATGTATGGCCCGATTTGCCTAATAAGCCAAGTTTTCATGAATTAATGTTTTTTCGACTACCTAACCTACCTAACCTAACCTAACTTTTTCGGCTACCTAACCCAACCTAACCTATAAAGATAGGTTAGGTTAGGTAGGGTTGGTTAGGTTCGGTCATATATCTACGTTAATTTTAACTCCAATAAAAGAAAATTGACCTCATGCATAATGAAATGGGTAGCTTTATCATTTCATAAGAAAAAAATTAGAGAAAATATATTAATTCAGGAAAACTTGGCTTATTAGGCAAATCAGGCCCTGCGTAGTAGGCTGAGAAGTGCGTTCTGGCTACTAGGTACGACATATATATATATATATATATATATATATATATATATATATATATATATATATATATATATATATATATATATATATATATATATATATAATGATATATAATCATTGAATATGACTGCATATTCTGTGTTGATTATTTGCTTGTTTAGGCTTGTATCCCTCTGACTAGAGCTCTTGCATCTTGGTTTAATTGAAAGAGGATTTCTCCAAATGTCATCTTTGTTCGTAGTAAACTAAAAGTTTAATTTACTGTAGAATGTATTTCACTAATTTTAAATTTACATAACGTTTCGAGCCTGCATGGTTCATTCTCAAGTAATGGGACTGTACGTTGTTGTTTTAGACTCTGCTACGGGAACAAAATTTCCACGTAGGACAGGCTATGGTGAGCCCGTAAGTGGAGGCTCTTTTGAGCCATTATCAGTATCAACAGCTGATACTGGAGATGTGGGGATGTGGTCGGTGGATGTGCCAATGAAATCCAAGACCATAGGGCTGGTCAGAACTGTGAACTGAATCGGGACTGTTGCTACAGTTTTATTCAGCTACTTGGAACACAAAGTTCCAAGTAGCACGGGCTATGGTGAGCCCGTAGCAGTACAATAATCAGGTGTTGTGGGCGTGACGTTTTGAGCAGTGATGGCACCTTCGTGTTGCCGTGTTGTTGTCACTCTCATGGCAAGTAGAGAGAGTGAATATTCACTCTACCTTTGGGAAGAGTGACGTTTTGAGTGCTCGGGAGAACGGGCTGGATTATCTCTATCGTTTTGATGGCCTGGCTGCATAGTACATAGTGTGCCATGATGCAGAGGTTGTGAACTGTAGGAGGGATCTGGAACACTTATAGTGCGTGTATGATGATGTGGAACACTTATAGTGCGTGTATGATGATGTGGAACACTTATAGTGCGTGTATGATGATGTGGAACACTTATAGTGCGTGTATGATGATCTGGAACACTTATAGTGCGTGTATGATGATGTGGAACACTTATAGTGCGTGTATGATGACCTGACACCCTTGT